TCCCTACACTAGTATTTCAAAGAAGAACAAAACAATACTTACAATGGGTGATCAGGTAGGATAGTGGTATAGAGACAGAGGTAAATTGAGTATGCAAGCTTAAGGTGAGGAGGTAGGATTGCAGCAGTGTCAGAATATGTTTTGTTTGGGGGAGATTTATTGGAGATCTCTGATCTGCTTGATTTCAGTGGTTAAAAACTGATACAAACTAGGAATGATAGATGGCATAGCAGTTACATCGCTAGACTCGCACATGGCCTACTGCAGTTTGAGTCCTAGACATGGTGGCTTCAAAATCATACTGGGCATATGCACGTGCATGCCCAAGATCCCAGGAGAAGAATGGAGGAGAAGGGATTGCAGCGTAGCCATCCCCTGGGAAGATATTTCTCACTTTCCCTCTCATGTCTGTTTCTGCCTCTGCCTCTCTCTTTCTCTCTCTCTCTCCCCCACACACCCCAGTAAGTGCAGCATGCCCTAAGGCAAAAAAACTTCTAAAAATTGTTTATACAAACTAATATTTGATCTATAATAGCTAGGCCCATAGAAAGGATATATATTCTGGTGGGAATCAGTAGGTAGAGGGCATTCTGGATGATGGGGTGAATTTGGCATCTTCAGATTCTCAAGCAAATTCCAAGATCTCTTCAAGCTTGTTTCTTGCTGTGTGCCTAGATACTTGGGAAGTGCCATTTGAAGAGATCTCAGAGCTACAATGGCTGGGTAGTGGAGCCCAAGGGGCTGTCTTCTTGGGCAAGTTCCGAGCGGAGGAAGTGGCCATCAAGAAAGTGAGAGAACAAAATGAGACGGATATCAAACATCTGAGGAAGCTGAAGCACCCTAACATCATCGCATTCAAGTAGGTCAAGGCTTTTCTTTTCTGATTTGTTTTTTAAAGAAATAGAGGTATTTTCTTTCTCCCAATATGTAAGTTCATACTTGGAAGTCATTTCAAAGACACTTTATAGACTTTGCACTGTGCTAGATGCTTTGGAAAGAAACCAGTGGAGTATTAAATTTGAGTCATGTTCTCAAGCACCTTAGAATGTAGTAGCTTTGGCATACTGAAGCATGTACTTCTTGAAGGGATGCACGTGGAGCAAGAGGGAGGGAGCGGATTTCTGACATGTGGTCAGATCTACTCTGTCACCCTTATTTATGAGTGGAATGATAGAAGATATTGCAAGATGACCTGAACATCTTAAAATTCAGTTAATAAAATAAACATTTGTAGTGATCAGAGAACAATCAAACCCTATGTAATAGACATGTAATTTTTATTAGATTCTGTTAGCATCTTTTACAAATATTAATTCGTAATCATAGGTACCTTCATCATTTAGCCACAGGTTTTGTTAGATTCCTTTTCAAATACTGCCAATCATTCAGCTTTCTAAATCTAATGATAGTAGAGTCATAAATTATATCTTTTTTCCCCCAAAATACACTGTATATTGGCTCAAAGATATTACTGTGCATGTTCTCTCCAACAAATGCTTTTCCATTTCTTGTTTCTTATCTATTTTACTCCCCTCCCCTTGATTTTCTCCCTCTCAACCTCTGCCATTTCCATCCTCCTTCCACACTGTCTGGTATCTACGGTAGCTTTTCTTGTTTGTTTGTTTCACATTTTAGTGGCTCACAAAATATCTTAATTAAATACTTTCAAAATAAGTTACATCTTATATTTAAACAACCACAAAGTGGTTGTTTTCAAGTCTAGACCATGATTATCATAATATTGACTGGGACCCCTCACAGAAGGATAAGCAACAAAGGTAAATTTGTGGACGTCACCGAACTTGGAAGTGCTGAGCTCTAAATATCTGTAATCTCTTCTGCCTAAATTTTTGAGCTTCGTGCCCTGCCAGCCTTCAAATGTTGTTTTAGCCTCGAACAAGTGAATGGTAAGTGATGTTGGAGGAGGAAGGTGAAGAACAGTAAAGGCTGCCTGTAGATTGGATGAAAGTTTAGAAACTGGAGCTTGGTGTAATTTAATATATATTCTTCATTCCTGGGAAATAGTATGACTAATGAGGGTACAGCTAAATGGGAGAAACTTACAAATCCCTCTTTTCTAAACTGGGAGGAACTTCTCCCAGGCTTAAGAGGGATCCTTCCTTGATTAAATTCTCATTATAAAGCTAAAAATGTTACTGTGATAAGTCTTAATTTGAATCACATCCTCAAAATAAGGAATTGGAATCTTGGGTATAGGTTTTATAGAATGAATTTAAATACTGAGATTGAGTTTGTTTTTTGTTTATTTATTTATTTATTTATTTATTTGAGAGAAAGAAAGAAAGATAAGTATCCTCAATGGGGTCTCATGCCAAGATCCTCTCTCTAACCTTCCCAGCCAGCCGGGACTATGGACATACACACAATCACCAGAATGTACAGGATGAACCCAGGAACCAAACCCTGATCTTCCATATGGCTTCCAGTAATGCAGAGTGTGTGCTACCACTGTGGCACCATGTTTTGGCCTGAGGTTGAGTTTTGACTCCCAAATAAGAACTTTAGGGAAAGGGAAAAATATGTGAGAAGAAAAGCATTCAATTAAGATACTAAGATACTGAGAAAAGTGCTTGGATTTATTTCTTGTGGAAGAGACATTTACACAGAGGACATGAAAGAGAGTTTTGGTTACTTAGTCATACTATCTGTGGTTGTCCTAGTAGGGCAAGGAGAATGTCTGACTAAAGTAGAATGCATTACAGACCACTGACAATCTTTCCAAAGGTAATAGATTTCAAAAAACAATGGGGGTACCAGCAGTTAGTATAATGGCTATGTCGCTGGACTCCCGTGTAGTTGACTGTGGTTCGAGTCCTGGACCCGGTGGCTTAAACTTAATCCGGGCACGTATGTGTGGACCCAAGATCCTGAGAGGAGAATGGAGAAGGAATTGCAGCATGGCCATCCCCCCTGGGGGGTGATTTCTTGCTTTCTGTCCCTGTCTCTGTCTCTTTCTTTCTGGTGAGCTCACACACCCTATAGCAAAAACCTCTCAAAAAAAAAAAAAAAAAAGACAATGGGAAGATTATTTTAATCATACAGGCTAACCGAGACCCTCCCTCTCCAGCTTCTTGGTCTCATCATATTTCACTGAGATGATCCCTACTTCCACTGTACTGCACCTGCTGCACCCTCCTCACCCAAAGGAAGGGCCAGCACATTTTAGACTTATACCACTGGACACTGGGTTTGAGACATACAATATTCTGTAGGTAAGTATGGGTTTTTGGTCTCTTGAAGAGAACTAGGCTGTGTACCTCAGGTAAGAGGGTTTTCCAGCAGGGTGTCCTGAGTAACTGAATGTAGAAATGTATTCTAACAAGATGGAGGGTAAGAAGCTTTATTTGTCCTTCCTTTCTTTGCTTCCTTTTTCCTTGCAGTCTTTTTCCCACCTCACTCTTCTGACCCTCCTACCTGCCATGAGGTTTTTAGCGTCGTTGGACAAGTATTGTCCTGTGAGTGTCCAACTCTTTTGGCTGAAGATGCTTGGATAGTCTTTACCTCTACATGGAGAACAATAGTGGGGCTATGTCCTGGCCGGCCACACACGCTCTTGGGGCATTGTGCAGTGTTGTGTTTGCAGCCATCTGTGCCTTGTGTTGCTTGGCCAATGAAAAACATTCGGGACCGTCTGGAAGATATGAGCCCATAATTAAATTTTAGTACATCTCTCTAGATATTGATTTTTGTCCTTACAGTTTCTTTTGAAGTTAGTAAGAACCATGTACAGAAGGGGAAGTACAAGATAAGAATACTATATTCTTTTGTCTTTTTTTTTTTAAGTAATCTTTTAAGAACACCCAACCTGACTATTCCTAATGGGAGTTAGTACCAAGGGAAGAAAAGGTAGCAATTATAAGTGATTGTAGAGCTGTTATTTATAGCTACTAAGAAGCTAGTATAAAGCTGATAGAATGATTCCTTCTCATTCGTCAGTCACGAGAAATGAACAGTGTGTAGCATATCACTGTTAGGTCTCTTCTATGTGTGTGTGACAAGTTAAAACAGAGTTGAATAGGATGCTGAGTACCCTCAAATATTTGTCTTGATATTCTGAAACACATTACATTATCCCGGCTCTGTTCATTATTTCTCTGTAATGATAAATGATCTGTTTTAGTTGCTATGCCCTTGTGTTCCACTGAGCTTTCCTAAGAATCAAATTATAGAAACTTGAAAAAAAAATGTCATTAAAAAATCAAGATGAGAATTCTGAGTAGCTTACAAAATGAAAGGAGAGTAATAGAAATGGTTTTATGGCATTCGACAAGTATATCAAGACAAGAAAAATGAAGACTTCTTATAACTAATAACTTGCGGTTGTTACAAGATCTTTATAGGATTAGCACCTCCAGCCCCAGCCTCTACATTCTACCATTTACAGCAGCCGAAGAGACAGGACATGAACTAGTAGTTGGCTCAAGACTACCTGGATGTCGTAGAGACAGAGTACACTGTTAACTTGAAAATTTCAAACGAGAGGGGAGACAGAAAATTACATGTGGTAATTTTTCTTCTCTCATTCTAAGAACAAAACTGTGAAGTGGAATAATATGGTTGTTCCCACTTTTATGAGATAATGGTGTTATTCTGCTCAATGTGCTAGTCTATACCAAAGTGGAAGAGCTAGAAGGGAGGCAGGGTGGCATAGCGTATGACCGGGACATGGGCTTTGACACTGGAGACACTGGCTTAGATCCCAGCTCTGTCACTTCAGTTGTGCCATCTAGCTGTGATTAGGACACTTTAGTCTCTCCCTCTGAGCCTTGCCTGTAAACAACAGGAAAGGTAGTCCCTGTCTTAAAATGGCTTGGAGGCAGACTGAAGAAGACAGATAAGTAACCATGTGTACTTGCCTGAAAAATATTCTTTGTTACTATTCTGCCTTCAACCCCATGCCCTGCATATGTTACTGTAAAGGCTTTTTCCAGCAAAGAACGCTGAGGTGAGATTAAGATAGAATTGTCGGGGGCCAGCAGATGGTGTGGTGGTTAAGGGCACTGGACTCCCACACGGCTGACCACAGTTCAGGTCCTGGACCTGGTGGTTTGCTTGTTTACTTTCTCTCTTTCTCACTCTGTCCCTCTCTGGTCAAATTAAAGAAATAATAAATAAATAAAGTTAAATAAGATAATTCTTAAAAAAAAAAAAAAAGATATAATTGTCAAGGACTTGCTCTGAACCTCTAGGCCTTTGGTAGGGAGGAAAGAACTAGAAGGCCTTTCCCTCAAGGACGCTGTAATCTATATGGGCAGAGAAGAGTTCCAGGTAGAAAACTAGTGGGCGCTATGTATTATAAGAATTTAAAGAAGAGAAAGACATTTTTAGACTGAAATAATAAGAAAAGACTTTCTGGAAGATGTAGAATTCATGGAGATACAGGCTGCATATGTGTAATATATTGCATAACGTTGCCTTTATTCTGAACAGAAATATTTTTCAAAGACTAAGATAGGAGCTGGACAGAGGTGCTCCCCTCCGTCCTAGTCCCTCAGAAGGCTGAGGCCAGAGGGGGAGAAAAGGCTATATGAGATAGAAAATTTACTCTTTTATTTTTTTTTATCCTCAGTAAAATGGATTCTTATTTTAAATTTGAATAATTTAAAATTCAATAAATAAGGGCTGGCAGGTGGCATGGTGGTTGAGGCACTGAACTCCCACATGACTGATCATGGTTTGAGTCCCAGACCTGGTGGCTTTCTCTCTCTCTCTCTCTCTCTCTCGCTCTCTCTCTCTCTTTCTCTCTTTTTCTCTATGGTGTTCATGCATGCCTGTAGCAAATAATAACGATAAGTAAAATTAAATAAATCTTTTTTAAAAAATCAACAAATAATAATACTATTGGCGATTTTGTGTTAGAATTCCCTTTCCGTACCCTACATATGAAACTCTCTAAGTTAAAAGGAAGATATTTCAAATTGTTTGTAATAATCCAAAATAACACATTATGCAGCCCGCACAAACCTCAGGAAACGGTGTTCTTTGTCACAGAATGGAATGGTTGCATAGAAGAAGCACCAACATAGCACAGCATATACATATATCTGGAGTGACTAAAACAAACAAAAACGGTCTGTGTGCTTACTAGCGAAGCCTGTAGGTGAGAGGAGTTGTAATGTTGCAAGAATCAGGAGCCATCATTTATATGAGCTTTGAAAATAATCTAGATAGAGAACTGGTCTTCATTAAATATGTTAACTATTCCTAAGACCCGAGTATGTACTGGTGTGTGTCTGCGTGTGTACTCACGTGCATCTGCACCTTCTCGGCAGGGGCGTGTGTACTCAGGCCCCGTGTTACTGCATCATCATGGAATACTGTGCCCACGGACAGCTCTACGAGGTCCTGCGAGCTGGCCGGAAGATCACACCTCGGCTGCTGGTAGACTGGTCCACCGGCATTGCAAGTGGGATGAACTATCTGCACCTCCATAAAATTATTCATCGTGATCTCAAATCACCTAAGTGAGTTCTGGACCTAGTTTTTCAGCTATTTTGTTTTGTTATTTTGGATTGATGAATTTCTATCAACCACAGTTGAAGTTTAAATCACAGTAGGTCGTTTGGATTATGGTTGACCTTCTTACTTTCTTATATAGCAGATATGTCCAAGAATCTGAGACTAGTTTTCTCTTTTATTACTTTTAAATAATTCATTACTATCTCAAGTATTTACCTATCTCTGATCATTGATGCCAAACTTCTCCACTTGAAGGTTTGACTTGTTTTCCTACAGTATTCCAGAAAAATTGTCTTAACTGAGTTTCAGAAAAGCACGCAACATAAGAGAATAAAATGGATAAAAAACAGAGACAGAGAGAAAAAAAAATTAGAACTAAAACTTGTTCACACTATGTATGCTAGAAGATTCTGTAGAGTTGTTCCCTAATGTCTAAACAAAGAAGAAAATAAACAGTTACAAGGTTTGTAGCTGACTATAAGAAAAATGAAAACTGGTTATTTAAGAGAAGTGAGGCTGGGGCCGGCAGGTGGCATGGTGGTTAAGCCACTGGTCTCCCACATCTCCAACTGACGTACGAGTCCCAGACCTGGCGGCTTCCTTTCTCACTTTCTCTCTCTCTCTGTGTGTCTCTCCCTGGTAAGCATACACGCCCTATAGAAAAATGTAAAATATAATAATAATAATAATAATATAAGATTAAATAAGTCAGTTGACAAGGAATGTTCGTTAGGTCCCCAAATTATATAAAGGAAAGGAAGGAATTGATAAAATGGTATATTTTAGAATACCTCCTATTTTTAAACATTATTTTTATTATTTCTCATTACATTTTACTTTAGAGAAGCAGAGAGGGATTAATCTCTTTTAAAAAACATAGTTACAGGGGCCAGCAGATGGCATGGTGGTTAAGGCAAGTGTACTCCCACATGGCTGACCGTTGTTCAAGTCCCAGACTTGGCAGCTTGCTTTCTCATTTTCCTTCTCTTTCTCTGTCTCTCTCTCTGGTCAACTTTAATAATAATAATAATAATAATAATAATAATAATAAAATAATGACAATGGATAAAATTAAAATAATTATTTTAAAAAGAAAGGTATATTTAAATAAAATAGATGCGCTTTTTTTTAGAGAGATTTTTGCCATAGGCTATGTACTCATCAGAGAGACAGAGAGACAGAAAGCAAGGGGGGATGGCCACACTGTAATCCCTTCTCTCCCATTCTCCTATTGGAATTTCGGGCATGCACACACACACACGCACACAAGCACACGCACCCAGTGTGAGTAGATGGCATAGTGGTTACACCCCTGGATTCCCACATGGCCAACCGCCATTCAAGTCCCAGACCTTGGGACTTGAAAATCCCGCCAGGCTCATGTGCAAGTGTGTCCAAGATCCCAAGAGAAAAATGGAGAAGGGATTGCAGCATGGTCATTCCTTCTGAGGGGGGAGGGGGTGATTTCTCACTTTTCTTCTCACTGTCTCTTTCTCTTCCATCCCCCCAACACTGAGCATACTCACCCTAAGGCAAAAAAAAACTCTTAAAAAAAATGAAGTTGTTTAATGCTTTCATCATTTACATCTTCTAAAATCCATTATCACATCTCCTTTGACACTGGCAACAAGTACCATTATTCTTATTAGATAAGATCAATTAGGGCTCAGCCCCAGATCATAGAGTACAGTGTGAGCCCCAAGTTTTAAGTAAAAACTATTGCATTATGGGAAGGAAAGGAGTTCACAGTGACTCCTGCCTCTTCTCCACGGAAGATACAAATAAGTTCTAGATGATTCACTTCAAAGCAGGTCTTCCTGATCACCATCGTTCTCGACCATGTCTAGTGCAGTAATTAGTTCCCTGAACAGCCCCCTCCTGCTGTACTTGCACACGCACGTTCTTACATTGTGTTCACACCTCTGCTCACGTTCTTAGACTAACCTGTTGCTTCTGCCGTCATCTCCGTACGTGCAAAGTACACAGAATACTTGCCAAAGACTTCTTTGCATGGCCTCTTTTTTAACCACCTTATTCTCCTTGAGAATTACTTTTGGAGGGAAGGAGTCATGAAGTCTTAGAATACATAAGATGATATGCTACACTCCTTAACTCCTGGAAGTTAGTTAACCAGTAAGCCTTTCTCCCGTTCCCGGGAGCACCCCGCGCCCCTCCACCCTGGCAGCCTTAGCCTCTTCGGATCTCAAGCTAACTTGAAGAAGACGAATACCCACCTGTCTTGCTGCAACGAGAGATTTCATTACCTACATTAAATCTGTAGGCTGTATCACTCCAGCTCTGTCTCTGAGGTTTCAGAAAAATTCCAACATTGCATCACTTCTAGAAGGCTCCAGGTCCGTTCTCTCTTGTCATGCCAGGAGATGCGGAAGAGAAGTTCTTAGCGTTCTCTTCTTAGGGTTGATCACCTTTTCTGACTTTCATGGTATATGATACCACCAGTCATCCATATACCCATAGCAGTAGAATCCTCTTTCATTTTATCTAGACTAATGTTACTAAATCGAAACTCCTAAATTTGCAGGGAAAGGATATAAATGAAAGTATTCTCAAGCAAGTGTAAGAACTGAGGTGTTCCGTAAATATCCACTTGGGGCGGCAAGTGAGAAGGATGAGGGACCGGATAGACTCAGAGGGTTCTGTTTTCCAGTCTCCTCAGTTCGGATACTATTTGAGAATTGAACTTGCTATGATTAAAATGAGTCCCTCTATTATTAAGTCTCTGAAACGCTCTCATTAAAGTTCTAAAGTTCTGAACAAGTTATTTTAAGGGAATTCAGTACTTTGGATTTGGTTCCAGATGGTATTAATCACATCTTAAAAAGTGCAAAAGCAGTCTCCACACGCCACGTCTCAGGTGACTACTGTGAAAAGTAAAACGTGGCTTGTATAGAACCTACTTAAGCTCAGATGACTCCTGCTTCTTCCTAGCTACACTTGTGAATTTCCAGCATGCTGATTTGGCTTTTCCTATAATGACTCTCTAGTGTCCTGGTCTCTTTCATATCAGTCGGCCGTCATTTCCACAGTGTTTCTGTTTATTTAACCTATCATTCTTTTTTAATTGCCAAAGGGTGTGTCCACTTGCCAGAAAGAGACAGCAGAGGGACCAGCAGTTAGCGCAATGGCTGTGTCGCTGGACTCCCACGTAGTCGACCATGGTTTGAGTCCCGGACCCAGTGGCTTAAACTCACGCTGGGCGCGTGTACGTGTGTGCCCAAGATCCTGAGAGGAGAATGGAGAAGGGATTGTGGCATGGCCATCCCCCCTGGGGGGTGATGTCTCGCTTTCTCTCTCTCTCTCTGTCTCTCTGGTGAGTGCACGCCCTATAGAAGAAAAGAAAAAAAAACAAACAAACAAAAAAAAAACAACCTCTCCAAAAAAAAGAAAGAGACAGCAAAGAAGAGGGAGAAAGTACCCTTTCCCATGGGGCATGGTTACACCCACCACACTCCCGTCTCCATTCCTCCATCTTGTCAGAAGTTGGGGCATACACTCACCTGGCTTGTTTGGCAAGCCACACAGCACCCCAGCTTGTTTTTTGAGTCACCTCACCAGGGCCGGATTTGAACAGTTCAGGCAATCCTATGGGATCCAGCTACCTTAACTGTTGGGCCAAGCCTGGCCCAACAGTCCAACAGTGTTTTTTTGGTTTTGTTTTTGTTTTTGTTTTTTTTAGATTTTTACTATAAGATGTGTCATACGTGTGCCAGACAGACAAAGAGACAGAAAGCGAGAAATCACCCCCTAGATGGGATGGCCACACCATAATTCCTTCTCCATTCTCCTTTTGGGATTTGAGGCACGTATGCACACGCACCAGGCATGAAGCTGCCGGGTCTGGGACTCGAACCATGGTCAGCTGTGTGGGAGTCAGTGATGTAACCATTATGCCATCTGCAGGTTCCTCCAACAATGTTTTTAAAGAGAGCATTTTGCTTAGTTGGTTGGCTGAGATCAGCAAAGATGGAAACCAATATTTGTCAAGCATGGGTGGATTACATATCTTCATTTAATTGGAACAATTTTACGAGGTCATTATTACAGGTCCACAGTCCCTTGTCTGAGATAAATCTCTTGGCACCATATGATTTTGGCACGGTGACACGGTGCCTTAGCATCGATTGAAATCCCTGTAATCAGCCACCTTAACGTATCCGTCGAAACCTATGGTATTCACACAAAATGGAATAGATACAGTGAGTTTAACTTATACATATGAAAAAGTACTGGTAAACCATTGTGAGAGCCTTTTGCATCTTTGAGTTGCCGATGAGATCATGACCTGAATTGTCTCTGCCTCATGAGAAAACGGGCTTAGAGGAGTTAGGTAGTTGGCCAGTGCGGAGGCGGTGTTAAAAGCCGCTGCACCCGGCAGCCTGAGAGTACGAGCGGTGCTGTTTGGCATGTAGCCAACGCCCCGCAGTATTGGAAACCGCAAACTGAGTTCCAGGCAGGAAGGAGCAAACAAAATCTCCAGTTGCCTGTTAGTCGTGGTTTTTAGTGCTACTAATGATCTGGGTGTTTTCTTTATTTCTTTTTAAAGTGTTTTAGTGACTCACACAGATGCAGTAAAAATTTCAGATTTTGGTACATCTAAGGAGCTCAGTGATAAAAGTACCAAGATGTCCTTTGCTGGCACAGTTGCATGGATGGCACCAGAAGTGATTCGGAATGAGCCCGTCTCCGAAAAAGTTGATATATGGTGAGTGGTGTCATCTGAACCACCCAGAAAACCGTTTTCCAACTTATACCCTATTAACACATTCTTCCTTCAATATTTTTACTTCCCCAGAATACCCTTTCCCATTGCTCACTCTGAATCATTTCAGGCTCATTCTTGGAGGTACTACCCAGTATGGTGATAAATGGTAAGAAGGATTAGGAGCAGAATCAGGGTGAATATCCTTTCAGTAACCGTCAGTTTTGGGGACCGTCAAAGAAGATCCTGAACTTTCTAAAACACTGAACATTATTTCTGTGAGCTTTTAGTATAGAAGTCTTTCTGAAATGTATTGCATAATCCTCACCTTCTTAAGTAAATACATTAAACAAAGATCGCCTATTTTCTTTTCTTTTTTATTTTTGCTATGGGTACATGCACTCACTAGAGAGAGACAGAGAGGGAGGGAGAAAGAAAGAGAGAGAAAATGAGAAATCCCCCCCGGGGGGGGAGATGGCCATGCTGCAATCCACAGTCCTTCCTCCAGTCTCCTCTCCGGGGTGTAGCCACACATGCCAGGTGTGATTTTTTTTTTTTTTTTTGAGAGAGATTTTCGCTATAGGGCGCGTGCGCTCGCCAGACAGACAGAGAGAGACATAGAGACAGAAAGCGAGAAATCACCCCCCAGGGGGGATGGTCACGCCGCAATCCCTTCTCCTCCATTCT